AAGATGCCGTTTTTGTGGATATCAAGATTCAACGACTGAAAGAAATTCCCAGCTTCTTTGTCGCTTCTACGCTTGGCTTCACATCCAAATTGTTGTAGTCGTTCAGCAAATCGTACAGGTTGGTGTGAGTGAATACCATTTCATTATAATCGTTTGATGAAACTGATTCTCCCTTTAGATTGTTGTAAAACCACTTTTTAGATGGAATATGTGAGTGTTTTAAGAACTTGAATGACATTATTGGAATATTGTGTCAACTCTGGGTGTTCATCAATGTATTTCGATAAATTCCGAGTTATTTTATGTGGAAATATTCCCATTTGTGATTGTGTCAAACATTTTCAAGAACTTGTCAAATAAAGTATTTGGTGGTTGAAAAGCAAGAATGTCTTTAAAAGCAAACGATCCATTTGATATCATTCGGTATTTGTTACTTTAATAATGTCATTCACTTGTCCGTTTTCAGCTGAATGAAACTCACAACTCCAAATTGATCTTGTGGTATATCCCATTGTTTGAGAGCTGATTCCTTGTTTGCTGTTTTTTCATACAATATGTTCATCGTATCTCCAGCTAAAGGATTGATATCTTCTGATTTGTGACACTTTCTACATCAGTGGAAAAAGCATCCCAGAAAGTCATATATTGTGTTTGATTCTTCATCGTAGCCATCAACATTGTATCGTTCAATCTTTTCGCATTGTTCAATATTACGATCTAATTCTCCTTCAATTGAATTAATCCAAGGCTTTTCGCATTTGGATACATTTGCATGTTTTTTAGAGTGTTTCAAGACTTGTGGAGGGTATTTCTTGATGATGTTAATGTCATATGATGAGCTATTGAAGCCATAAATAGGAAGAACATCAAAACATTCTAGTAATTGTAATCTTAATCGTTTCTGAACCTTTGCATCGTCCAAATTGGCCATCATTACAAAGAACCGAGAATACTTTGAATACAACAATTGCAGATATTTGTGTCGTATTTGATCCATTTTTGTCATCACTATATCCAAAGCTTCTTCAGTTGTACCTTCAACTGGGATGAATTGAGCCTTGTTTTCTTCACTTCCAATGAAACTTGTGCTCAAAAGTTTGTGTGTTTCAATGAATGAGCTTCAAGTTGGTCGTAGATTTGACTGATTTCAACCAAGTTTCAAAATCAAAGTAGATGAAATATGGATAAAATCTCATTTCTTTTGGTATATTAATTACATTCAATTCGTTTCAATTCCAAGGAAAGCGGTTGTATCTTGGATTCCGGAAGTTCAACAAAAATACAACCATTATCTTCGCCATAACATTCTTTCAAAAAAGTAGTCTTGCCGCATCGATATCTACCAGACAAAGAAATCGTATCGTGTTGCGTCTTTTCAATTATTTCCTTTTCAATCGTTCGTTCGACTACAAGCAAATTATGCTTAGTTTTGACAGCGGGTTCAGGTACCTTGCTAAATAAATAATCCAAATCGTAGACACCGAGAACATTAAAGTCTTGCCAGGTTACCAACAACTTTTCTTTTGTTGCTTCATCTATTTGAGCAGCCACGAGAATCAATGAACACTTATCCAAAAGGTCATTTTCCTTCATAGAAATAACTTTGCACAACCCAGAGAACTTTTGCACGGAATCAGTATTCAAGAGAGCATCACTGCTGGTTTTGATGTTAAAAACAACCCAATGCCGCTTCCAAGTTTTGTCAATATCACCCGAAGAAGGTGTCCTTTCACGAAGAAGTATATCGGCATCAGTTCCATCGTAAAAATATTCATATAATTCATAGCGATTACTCGGGAGGTTAAGAATATCTCCAAGTTTACGAAAAAGAGCCTCTCCTACAAAGCTACAAATAATATTTTCCATTGCGTACCCCCGGCATCGAGCCCAAGATTTTTCAACAATGTTAGGTCCTTCGTTGTAGTCAGTCCAACAAATTCGAAATTTTTTAGAGTCTGAGAAATACGGAATCTCTTTCAAGAGTCCTCGTCTCACCAGTTGAGAAACATCTTTTTGAAGATCTTGCTGAATAGCCATCTTGCTGACACCAGTTGTTGGAATCGCGTTGAGTAAATCAGCACTGATGCCTCTTTCCCGAAGAGCTGTTCTGGCTTCATCGATACACTTATGTAGTAAATCCTGTGGAAATTTCTCGCCAAGAGCAATTTTGGATCTGGTATCGTCATCCAATTGAGCAAGCATGTCTTTTGCAAAGAGTTGGTAAAGATACGGATCGCCACCAAAGACAGTCCAAAAGTTCAGAACACAGATGGAGCTTATTTTGTCAATTTGGAATATAGCTCGTATCAGTTGTTTAACTTCCGGAGGTCTTAGATCCGATAAGTTGACCCCTGCCATTCTTGCTGAAGCGCTGCCTCCGTAATCAATTGCGTTTTTTCCATGAGGAGGAGTTCCCGTTATTATAAAGTGAGGTCGTTTAGCACCTTCCTTGACAATGAATTCAATGAGTCCAAGGTGTCTTTGTGATTCATCAAATACCACACGCTTAATCCCCTTTTTAAGAAGCGCTCCCATTATCTGACGAAAAAAATCAGAGTTCACATCATAATCACGATGAGGAAGATTATCAAAGTTCAATTGTACGCCCAACGTATCGGCAAGGTATTTACAATAACCAAACCGGACATATTGAACATTTAGATAAGCAAGAGGATTGCGAGAAAGCTTAAATGGCAGCATCGAATTTTGTGCTTTACCGTCTACTGTAAGACGATTAACAAGACTTTGACCAGAATCATTTTTTGATTTGATGACAAGTGAATGGTCGTAGGAACCAACTGGATGCTGAATGGAGGTCAACAGAGTATTCCCGGGAATGGCTGGACCATTCACCACATAATGGATGGTGAGCTTGTCAGGATCTATAGCACCAAGTTTCGATGAAAGTGTTTGTTTGATTGCTACAACCAGGTCACCAACACTATCAAGGGGGAAAGGCCGCAAAGCAGTCCTTTCATTATTGATATAAATATCAATCCTGACTGGCTGATTGTCAAGATATTGAATGTAGAAATGTTTATTTTCCATTGTAATTGTGAAAGAAAATAAAATAAAAAAAGAACAAATAAAACGTGAATTTGTCTCATTCAACACTCGATATTGTGTGATGAGACAAATTCACACTTTGAATATTGTTTAGACATTTTTGTGTTTATTTGTATTGTTCAATCGAGTGTCAATTCAACTCAACAATTGATTACGTCATTCATATAATGACTCGAGTCTTTTATTCAATGTTCAAATCAAAGTTTCGAGTCAGTTTCATTCATTACTGTTTAATACAACAAGTAATGAAGAAATAATTGAAATTAAGTTCATAATCCCATGAAAACTATTGGTATTTTTTACCACTTTGGTTTTCACAAATCACAGGGGTTCGCTCGTGGTAACACTGCATACATTCATCAAAAATAAGATGTTCCATTTAAAGCATCAAGTATGGATCTGACACAGATCTCCTGATATTTCAAACTAATAAACTCCCACTATAATACCCAAGGTTTTTGACCTGAATTGCTTATGTCCAATAACTTTCTATTTTTGACAACTTTGGACAAAATTTAGTGGTAATCATTAGTCAAGAAAACTGGTATCATCCAGTGCCCTATCCATACTACTCATGTCGAAACTCGAACAAAAATCTTGATAAATTTTCTCAATCCGGCTCCGTCCCTAACTTGCTTGCTACTTGTTTTCTTGAGTTTATTTCCCCCGGATCCCTCCAACTGGTTTGGTCTTTTTTCTGTGCTGGCGCTTTCGGATTTTTGTCAGATCTGGCTGCTGTTGTTTCCAAATGTTGTTAGGATTAGCAATACTTGCAGCATATCAAACGTATCAACTACAAATGTCCCTAGTTGCCAAAGGAGTCAAGGACCTAATCCACCGCGTGACAGTAATGTGTTGGCATGAACGTGGCATTGTCAACTACTTGATAGTTTGTCGCTCCTGTTTTGAAACTGGCATATCATCTGCTCATTTTGGCAAAAATAAATAGGCATTAGTTCAAAGTGTAAATTATTAGGAGCCTTCTGTGCTTAATTCGTACCGTAAACGGATTTGAATAATATTAAGAAATTCAATGTTACAAATGGCAATAAAAATAACCAATTAGTTACATGAAACCCAACTTTTTATTTAATCTCTGCTTTACCAAAATCAATCAATTTGATATCCCCATCATGAGTTAAAAGCACATTTTCTGGTCTCAAGTCCTGATGAACCACGCCAACCGATTTCAAGTCTCGAATAACACGATTCAACTTTTTCTTCAATTCACTGTTTGCTCTCCAATCACAATGGTTTCCGGGAATATAGTCCAACGCAATGAAATGTTGCCCATAATATTCGCACTGTCCATAATAACGAGGGATATACTTTAGATTGAGTGGGGAAAGCTTTTCGTAAATTGATATTTCGTTCTTCAGCATTTTGAATCCTTCAGGATTGTTATAAGAATCACATTGCTTCACAACAATGTTGCTGTCCTTGAGTCGAATGACTTGACCAGTTGCTCCAGATCCAACCACGGTACCGTAATGAAGAGAATCGAGATTAAGGTTATATTTTGTTCCTTTGCTCTTGTCCAAACTATAATTTGTTTCTTTTCCCTGGCCTGCGGTTGAATAGTTACTGCCTGATTCTGATTGTCCATCCGCATTATGTTCATCAGTATCCATTTCATTGCTGGCGTTAAGTTCCACAGGCATATCAGAGTCCTTTGGATTGGGATCTAGCGTTTGTTTTTTATAGTCTCGTAAAGCAAGCTGAACAAAGTAATATAGTGCTTGAAGAAGACTAGGCGAATGAGAATTATTGAAAATGGGATGGCTGATAAGAAGAGTGCTTCTCTTGGGTCGCCAAAGAAAATATGTAACATCATAGCATGTTACACATCCATAGACCAGATTGTTCAATGAGATATCCATAAACTTGATCAATCACTGTGCACACATCCATACGTCCAATGTCCTCACGGGTTGTTTTGCTTTGTTGGTATTGTATATCTTCTTTATACATCTCCAGCAAATCAAATGGGTTTCCGCTTGCAAAATGACGAACCGGCAAATCATTTGGAGTCTTGTCTTCAATAAATGACAACACTTTGGAACCAAGAGTGAGAACATTATCTGGAACTCCAATAAACTTGATATAATTTTCTGTTTGAGTTGGTGTTCCAGAGTTTAAAGGGATAACAGTGGGTTTGGTTTGGAATACGTGCGCCTCTCCTTGGTCTTCAAATATTCTGTTGAAGTTATCCAAATGGTTTCCAACAGCCCTGCTGACATCTCTTTCCAGTGTGAATGCAACTCTCCTTGTAACAGGCAAAACAACATCACTCCCAACATGAGTAGCAGGATATTCATATGCTTTTGCATCTGTTGAAAAGTTTTCCCACCGTCCAACATGCGAAGGTGTTTTAGGATAGTTTCTTTTGATTTCAGTAGTAGATGACTCTGAAAGATTTTTTTCGATATCTGCCAAAGTGTTTGATAAAAATTTATCGAGTCTTACTGTAAGACGATTGACAAGACTTTGGCCAGAATCACCTTTTGATTTGATTATCAGTGGATGGTCGTAAGAACCAAAAGGATTTTGAATAGAGGTCAGGAGCACATCCACAGCAATGGCTGGACCATCCACCACATAATGGAGAGTGAGCTCTTCAACAGGAATAGCACCAAGGAGGGTAGTGGTGACAGTCTTGTAAGCTGCAATCAGTTTTGAGACATTGTCAAGCGGTCTTTTTCTCTCCAATTCTCCATTGAAGTGAGTTTCGATTTCCACTGGGTGGTTGTGGAGGTATTGAATGTAGAATACTTTATTTTCCATTGTAGTTTGTTAAAATAGAAAGGAATAGAGTAGAAGAAAGAGCAAAAGGAAATGTAATAGAATAGAGTGGAATGTAATGTAATGAAGAAAAAAAGAAAAAAAAATTGGACTTTAAATCCAAAACTCGATATCATGTGAACAATGTGAGACAAATTCACGTTTTGAATATTGTTTAAACATTTGTCATGTGTTTATTTGTATTGCTCAATCAAGTGTCAATTCAACTCAATTGATTACATTTTAATATTCAATGTTCAGATTGAGTTTGATTGTTGGATTGGTAAATGTGTTACAAAACATTCATTTACATGCTGAATCTGACAAGTGAATAATGATTGTTCCAATCAACACATGGATTGAATTGACTGAATATTGTCATTGATTGCAGTCACTGTTGACCAATACATTGTAATACATTGACAGTCTCGACATCAACATTGTCATTCATGTCAAGTTGTGTGTAGTTGCTAATATTACACCACAACAATACTGTCAACTTTCGAGTCCTGTGATACACCGTTTCAACTATAACCGGATCGATGTTGATCACTTGTCAATACACGCACCAGTTGTATAATCGTACAACTGTTGGTTAACCAATGTTTGACTGTCGATATTTGAATCATGAATATTGTCCAACATAATCGTCACTAACATTGTCGTTGTCGTTTGATTGCCTTGTTCTATGAATAATCATTGCAATGTCATTTGTTCAGTTGTTGTTGGTTTATTGAAACCATGTCACAATTCTTGATATATTGCACATGATCTTGTAATTGTTGGTGTTGTCTGTAGTAATTCTGTCAATGTATACGAATGTCACTTGTTGCTAATTGGTAGTTGTTTATGATTAATACACAACCGATCAGGTTTGGTGACCATTCTATGCACATATATTTGACATTATATCGGACTGTTATGTTGTTTGATCCAATAGTAGTATATGCCAGTCATACTATAATACTACAGGTTTGTTGCAATATCCATACAACCTATATCCAAAACTGCACAAACACTGTCATTCAAGATTGATGAGTATGCAATCACAAATGAATCCAACGCATTTTTGCTGTATATAGTTGTATCGGCTGTCGTGTCTGTTGACTTGACTAGATCTGATATTACATGGGCTATTCAACAATTGTATTGAATTCCGGTTAGTATCGAGTCATTTGAGTCGTTCAAGTAGTCAAGTTGCTTGGTTTGCAATGTGTTGTGTCCAAGAATCACTTGCAATTAAACCATCACCAAACCACAAGTTAACAACACCAAATGATATATGACTGGTTTTATTAACAACACATTGCAAACACTCGACGAATTAGCCATGAATCAAGTTCAATCATCAATCGCCAATATTGTCAAAGTGTGTATTCCTGGTTTAGTTGACGATGATCCGAGTATGCGGTATTTGTCACAGTTTGATTTGGTCCAAACAGGTTTTGTAATGGTTTCAACAATGTCTGATGAATGGCATGCTACAATCGCAGTATATTGATATTACCGCATGATACAACTGTTTGGTTGACCAAACGACTCGAATGTTGGTGGATTATTATGCCAATCGACTGTTTTGACCTGATATCACCACACTTGACATGCCAACACATGCGACATATGATGGAGTGTGTAATTGCAGTTTGATTGATTCAATGTTGTGTTACGACATGTGTTACAACATCAGTCACCATGTGGGTTATAGTTTGTATATCAAACAACACATTGTAGTGATTGATTGTCGTTCCGATCGATCGAATGTCAATATGTTGTACAACAGTTTGGTACAACTGACTGTCCATGGATTATTATCACACGAGCCAATGCTGACCTGATTTGGGATATTCAGTGTTGTTGGAATATCAACACAACATCAACACCAAACATCAGATCGACAATGCACGTTGATGTTGATGAATGCAACATGAATATTGAAACAATGCATCATAATGCGTACAAGTCGCAGATTGCAGTTCAGACTCAATGCAAAATACACATTGTTACAGTTTTGTCATGAACAAAGCGATACGCACAATGTGCAGTTCATGTCTACGACTCGACTGATTGGTAGACAACGACCATTTGCATTGTTGAACAGTAAACTGAACAGTAAATGA